GGGGGCGTGGGGGGGGAGGCCGCCAGCCCCTCGCATGCTTTCCCAGGTCAGGTTTCCAAGCCGCGTGCTATCTTTAGGCACTGCATCCCGGACCACGGCCCCCCCGCCCGCACCCCGTCTCCCAGCTACAAACAGTTAAACAGGAAATAAATCACAGCGAGCTCAGCCCTCCCTTTCCCTCGGCGCTTCTCTGCCGGACATGCGGCCCAACCTGGCTACAGGCGCAGGCAGCTCAAGGGGTGCCTGCTGCTGAGACCTGCCAGCTCATGGCACAGATGAGCAGTGCCAGGAGCAGTCCCCAGGCTCGGGCAGGGAGCTGGACCCAATCCCAGCCTCTTCACCCTCACTTGGCACGGAAACAAGAGTCCACAGTCCAGCAGGTGAACGTGCCCCGGCTCACCGCCTCTGTTGGGGTCGCAGGCACGGTGCAGGGCCCCCGGTGCTGGCCCTCAGAGCTGCCACGGGGCACGCCGGCACAGGGGGACACTGCGAGAGGCGCAGAGCAGGGCGTGCTGCGACAAGGCAGATGCCGAGGAGCAGCAAGGAGGACCCTCGTGAACCTGTGGGGCTAAGACTCCCTCCAGCCCGGTTTCCCCCAGCTCCTTGCGCTTTCCAAAGGTGGCAAACGTCCCATAGTCACAATGTGGTCGGTCCGGAGCCCGGCTACACAAATGCTGGGGGGAGGGTCGGGGAGCCCCTCACCCTGGCTCGGGGCACACAGGTGTCCCCTCCGCTTTCCGAAGCCTGAGAGACGTCAAGCAAGGGTGGGGTGGAGGGGGCTGAGCCAGTCGTGGGAGGAACCGCTCGGTATAAATAGGCTGTTGGGGCGAGGGGGGAGGTCAGATTCGTCGTTAGCACCATGGTGGTGGGAGGGAGTTGGGGAAGGGGCCGGGGTCAGACCCACTCCTGCAAGGAGCGCTTGCAGTACAAGAGCATTCGGGGTGCGCCCTTCCTCTGCATCTGCACGATGACGTAGATGAGGCCGAGGATGCAGAGCAGCAGCACCAGCAGCACCAGCACCATGACGACGCTCATGGTGCGCGTGTACTCGTCGATCTGCACCACCACGTCCACGTCGCTGCCCTGCTCGGGGCCACCCTCGCCGTAATCCTCCTCATCCTCCTCCTCTTCCTCGTCCTCCTCGGCTTCAGCCCCACCACCAGGGCGCTCTCCCCCGTCCCCGTCGGGGTTGAAGGGCGGCCGGTCCACGTCAGGCCACCTGGGGTTGGGGTCAGGGACCAGCTCCATGTGGCAGCCCATGAAGTCCCGCAGGATGGACTTGGGATAGCCCGGCTCTGTCTTTAGCCGCTCGTTGTCGAACTTCCAGTACTTTGTGCCTCTGTAGAAGTAGGTCGAGGCTGGGGGAGAGACACAGGTGAGGGGCGAGCAGCCGAGGTTCCCTTCCCAGGGTGCCCCAGCACTTGTCGCCCACGGACGCCAGGATTTGTTCTGGCACCCATGAAGCGGAGGAGAGGAAACAGGACTTCCCGCCCAGCGGAAAGAGGAGTGCGGGGGGGCTGGGCCGGTACCCAAGCAGCCAGGCAGCTCCGGTAACTTCTGGACAGAGCGGCCTCATGCTGGCCACCATGGGACAGCGAGGAGCAGAAAGCACAGAGAGGTGGCCTCGGCCTCTGCCCCGCCTCTGTGGCATCCCACTCTCACCCTGATCGCGTGGGCTCGCATCCGCGCGTCCGGGCTCTCTGGCCACGGCCAGCCGGCCGGGC